TACCTGCTTACGGTGGTAGATCAGGGCATGTTTAAATTCAGCATACCTTATGCTATGCATGCGTGCATTCATGCATTTTGTATTACATGCATTAGGCTCGGTACATCACGCTAATTGCATTCGTACTTCAAATCAAAAATTGAATATGTGATAATTGTGCATTTTCACATAACATGTTTAGGATAGCCGAGCCTATTCTAGTAACATTTTGTATGCGATGCATTAGGCACGTCACACGGACTTGGATCATGCATGTTTGCTAACAAGTTCTTTGTTTTGGCACGGAGTACTATGTAAGTGTTTCCGCTTTAGTATATCACATGAGTGTGAATATTGCCATGACAGCATGCTTAACATGTGGCTAGATGCTTATGTGTTAAACTGTTTTGAACGACTGTGGGTGAAGGTTGGATTGTTTGAGTTGGAAAAACTCATTGAAATCCGTATTTTAGCCTACCTGCGGGTAGCAAATCCAAAGCATTTTCAAAACAAACGGATATGCAATGTTTATTCCAAATTAGGCAATCTAGACTATACTTGTTTGCTGCGCATAACATAGTAATTCTAGGCTAATAATTGGTTTAAGAACACGTAAAGTTTTCAAAAACGGATATCACGGTTAGTAGAGGCCGGTCTTCGGACCGGGCGAAAGGGGGTGCTCATAGCTGACCTTCCCCGATCGTACCCTAGCTCCCGAGCCGAGACAACTTCGGTGATGACGGACATGTGGCCTTCGGCACTGAGTCAGGGTTTCCTAAATTCCCCCATTTTAAAATATTTAGGTGGCGACTCTGTATCTGGCAAAGCAGTCCATGTTTGGCACTACTTTTTCAAAAATCTGTTTCTCAAAACGATTTGCCAGATTTGGACTCTTTGGTTCAGATTAAGAACCGTGACACAAATCGAGTCCGAACTGTAGCACGAGGTCCCACGCGGGCGCTGTTACAGCTGGCGTGCAACATGTGTTATTTTTTTGGGAGTTTGCTGCTGCTGGTCTTTCTTAGGTTCAGCTGGAGCTGGTCTTAAGGGGCTGCTGCTGGTTGTGTGCAGCTACTGTTAGGGCTGTCATGTTGCTTTGTGGCTGTGGTTTTTAATTTTTTCCTGGTTGGGTTCTGCTTTCTCATCTGGGCTGTACATGGTGTCCTTGTTTGTAGATGGGTTACTTTCTTGTTTTAGTTTGTTAGTCATGTGGCTTTCTATGGTTCATGTTCAGGTTTTTTTTATGGTTGTTGCTGTCTTTTCTTGGTTTTTAGTTTTTTTTTATGGTTTTTTTTTTTTGGTATTCTTTTGTCTTTTATATTATGACTTATTCACCCAAAAAACAAAATATACATATTTGTCAAAATTCATGTTTTACTATGTTATAGCCTAGTGGTTTACGTATCTATGGATTTTTCTTCTCATTTTACTTTATGACTAAGTTTGATATATGCAGGTTAAAGAAGCAGGTACTAGCATCATTTGCCAAGTCAGCTGAAGATGTCTTTCGTGCTGTAGAACACTCTATGAAGAAAGAATTTAATACTTCTTCTATTCAACTTGCTATAGAAGCCGCGTCTAGTTACAAAGGTAAGTGAGTTTTTTTACAGCTAATTCTAAAAATGGTTCCCCTTCATGTGTTCTTGTAAAGTTGTAAATGGTTGATATGGAAGAAAAGAAGATGGTTGATATGGAAATTGAGGTAAAGAATGAATGGCAATGGCAAGAAGAAACCTAGCCAAGTTCACTACTTATGATTTCTAAAATATTGAAAACAATTCTATGTTGTGGAATAAATCACACATGCACAAAACAATAACAAGAAGAAACAATCACAAATAAGAAAAGACGGCCACACAGATTTATGTGGTTCAGTACCAGTTCTACTATACTGAGAGAAAAGAAGAATACGATGCGGCTACTATGAAAACAATAATATATATGCTAAGATTTACATTAATAAATAACCGTAATACCCTTCATTGCATCTGTGATCGCGTGATGAAGTTTACAGTACTAATCAGGCTCCATAAACCTAACAATCTATACCTTTAAAACCCTCTGATTCTCATCAATATCATATGGTTTGAAGGGCAATCCATCAATAATAGCATGTTATTGCAAGCCTTAGACATGCAGGGGAATGGTTTTTCACAAAACAAGAGATATGGTATATATTCTTATATATATAATGTTTGTGTGTACTGTCAAATGGCCATACTAAATTTATTACTATTACTATTAATATTTGTGCTATTGCATTAGATAAGAATTAAAATTTAGTTTTAGTGTGTTGTTTTTGGTTATGTTTGAAACAGAAACAAAACAGAAACAAAGGGGATGCATCGAACTTGATAAATAACACAGTACAAGCACGACATAATTCCCACTCCTAAATAAAATGAATGGAACTTGATGTTTACTTTGAATCACGATGCATGTTTGTGGATATGTGCCTATGTTGCCATGGATATTTGAGCATTTATTTTATTTGTTCAGACATGCTTGAAAATTTTCAAGCTTTGATTGTAATCTTATTTTATATGATTTCTATCCCTTAACATGCAACCATGTGTAGCTCGGCTTTTTCATGCCCCCTTTCGAAAGCTTGAAAAGAAGCCCTACAGTTCAAACTCCCATGGTTTTGAATCTAATCTCACAAGTGTAATGTGAAATAAACACCAAAGAGTCCAAATCGGGCAAATCATTTTGGAAAATTGATTTTGAATCAAAAAATGCCAAAATTGGATTGCTTTGCTAGATACAGAGTCGCCACCTAAATATTTATTTTTGAAAAATTTAGGAAACCCATATGATATTGATTTGCACGAGTTATGGGTTTCCTAAATTTTTCCTAAATGTGGCAGCTTTGTGAAGGGTTCACTGGGATTTGTTAGCAACAACACTTAGAAAGCATTTTCTCATGAAAATGTGGTTCATAACAATTTTGTCGAACATGTGATGTGCAAATAAACATGATAGTAACTATTGAGAGAGAAATTGAGTTATAGAAGAAACAAAAGAAGCAATAAAAGAGAGGAACCAGAGAAGAAGGGGTAGACAAGAAGAGGAGATGCATTAGAAGCAGAGAAGAAAGAATATAAAAAGTTCAGGTACAAGTTGATTCCAGAATTTAGCTGATGAAATGTTGTTATCTTATATTATTCCTTTAGTTCCTTATCTTATGTAGTTGCTACTAAGTACTCAGGTAGAATTACATCACATTATCCCAAAAAGTGCCTAAAGCTACTAAAACTTTCATGAATTTCTTCTATAATGGATTGAAAGTTTCTTCTTAAACTTGTAAATAATACAGACTCTAATTTGACTTGGACTCTTTATTTTGGAACTTGCAATGGTAATGGATAAAACCTATACAAACCTAAACCTCATACATAGAGATCCTTTAACATAATTATGCGAGTCCCAAGTAAGTGCTGCATTGAAGTAGATTAACTGCACCTCTTCCTCTTTTTAAATTTAATTTTTCTCTTGAGCTTCTTATGGCCTGGATTTAGTAGCAAACTATATTTTCCTGTACAAACTTAATGGTTTGTTGGAAGATTCCTACTCATTTTCCTCTAGAAACATCGCAACAAAAGAGGTTACTTCATTTAAAGTATGAAGAAAGAGGTTTTGCTTTATGTGGATTTTATTTGCATATACATTGAGACTATTGAGATCTTGAATTTTTGCTACTTTTTCATTATGACATTGCTTTCATAGGGCCATTGAATTATCTTATTAATTTTGAAAATGTTTGGTTGATGTTTTAAAATTTGTTGATCATTTCTTAATACCTCAAGAAATATTTTTGTCCCTGAGTTGTTGGTTTTTGTACTTATGTGAAGTTTCCTTTGTCACTCAAACAAGAAATGCAACAAGGTTAGTTGTTCTAGCTATTGTCGCGGGTTTAGGTGCCTTAACACATACATTGGGCACCCTCGCCCCTGTGATAGGAGCAAGTAGATTTGCTACAGCTACAGCTACAGCTACAACTGTTATAGGAACTGTTGTCGGAAGTTTTAGATAATCTCTTAATAGTTGTTGATATGTTTAGAAAGTAAGATATGCATAGTTTCGGATGATTTAAACTTTTTTTTACAGTTTAGAACTTAAGGATATAGTTTTTGAATATTTGGAATGTATAGACAATTGTGCCCTTCAAGTCTTATTAAATTTTTAATAGTCGAAATTGTCTTTCAAATAATGATTGTTCATCATTTATGATTATATATAAAGGAACATGATAATTTGACATTTATTTGGATTTTCAAAACTTTAAAATATCAACTTTCAAATTGAAAAAAAAAAAAAAAAAAAAAAAATTTTTTTTTTTTTGAAAAAATTGAAAAAACTAAATTTTTTTTTTTGTGCAAAACTAAAAATTGTGTCTATAAAGAAGCATGATGATGGAAAATTGATGTGCAAAACTGAAAAAAAAAAACTTTAAAAATTAAAAAACTGATAATGTTCTCGATTTTATTGGATAGTTGAATCAAACCAATAAGTAGAAAGGCAAACACATTTAATCTCATGTTTTGTTTGTTTGTTTGTTTTTTTTTTTTTTTTTTTTTTTCATCAGTTAGTGAAACAATTATCTAGAACATTACTATGCAAAATTGATAATGCTCTTAGTTTTGAAAATTGGAAAAAACTGATAACATTCTCAGTTTTACTAAGTATAACTTATTGGTTCAAAAAAGCTTAAATAAAACATGAACTATCATAACATTTGTAAATAGAATTTTTAGGTAATTAACTCTAAAAAAAAAGCTGGGTTTTTAATTAGCTAAAGAGTAGAGAGAGACAGACCGAGAGACAGAAAGACAGAGAGACAGAGAGAGAGAGAGAGAACCTTAAATTGATTTAAAAGAAAATTTTCTATCCGGATGTTGTTTTGCTTATTCTCAATCAATTTGAAGCAATTCTTGAAGGAAAGTATGGAAAACTTATTGCATTTGGATGAACTCCATATTGTTCTTAATGATGGGCAATCATTAGCACGTAGGTCCCTTATTTCAGATGAAATCTCTGGCAATTCTTGAAGCTTCTTGCAACCATTCAAATACAAGCCCGACAACCTTGAGAGTTGATTCATGCTTGCAGGTAAACTTTCCATATTGTTTCCACTTAGATATAAATGTTGCAATGAGTAGATATAACAAATGGTTGTGGGGATAGATTTTAAATTACAGTAACTGAGATCTAGTTTCCATAAAGACTCTAACCCTGACAAAGCTGCTAGTTCCAAAGCACTGGAATTCTCTCTCTCTCTCTCTCTCTTCGTAAAATGGAAGGCAAAAATAAAGAACTCCATGAATTAGATGCCGTTCCTTTACACCCTTGTAAGAATAGTATTTTAAGCTTCTTCAGAAGTCCAATGGAGGATAGGAGTTGTCTAATTGTAGTCCAATCTACACGAAGCACTTTCAAACAATCCAGATCACCCACGTCTTGTGCCAGTTTGTCAAGTTTGGAGCAACCAGAGAGGTTTAAATCTTCAAGAGCTTTCAACTGACAAATGCTGTAGCACTTATGTCCTTCGAAGCTTTTGGGAAGTGCATTTGAATCCTTTATTTTATTTTTGGAATCTTTAGTGTTGTTGTATCTTAGTTTTGGAGGAGTACAAATCGATTTAAACTTGTTGGGATTGCTCGTTCACGCTTGTTTACGTTGAAAAGTTGTCTGGGAACTTAAAAATCTTGTTCTGGGGTCAACACCGGTCTTGGTGGTGTCGACACCTTCCTTTTGTTGTTGGCCTCAAGGGTCGACACCAGTCTGGGAAGGGTCAACCCTTGTCCTGAAATTGCTTGCTGAAATTTGGTGTTGACACTAATCTGGGAAGGGTTGACACCTGTGTTGCAAGGGTTGACACTTGTGAACTTTTTTTCAAATTTCAGTCTGATTTGGACCCTACGTTTTGGGGATTTTAACTTGATCTTTTGGGCTGACTTTGGGAGTTCATTTTACTTTGACCTAGCACTATAAATAGGTCCCTCACTTAACCTTTTGTTTACTTTTTCTTCTCTTTTTCCCTCTCCAAGTCGTGAGTCACTCTCTCTCTCTCTCCAAAATCACTTTTTGCTCAAAAATCTTTAGATCTACTCACTTGGAAGCATCTCCTCGTCTTGCTCCTTTGAGATTAAGTGTAGAGCTTGTCAAGAGTTTCGTTTTGATCCAAGTAGAAGTTGGTTTCAACATCTTTGGAGTTTCAACCTTGTTTTGCTCATTTTCTCTTCTAAGCTTGAGGTAGGGATTTTTTACACTCTCATATGGTTTTTAGCGTAGTTATTTGTTATTGTGTATAAATAATGGGATTTGGTTGTAGTTTGGACAAATCTAAGATTTGGGTGTGAAATGAAAAGAGGGGTTTTTGATGAATATGGAATAAATGGGCATGGGGTTTGAATATAAGGTCATGTTGTACCAAAATGGTTGATTTTGGTATCTGGGTTGATATTTAGAAGAAGGGAGATTTTGTCCTAATTTGATTAAATCATTATTTTGTATAAATAATTGGAATTGACATTGAAAATGTGAAATTGGATGATCATTGATATAGATGGTGGAATTAGATATGAATTATCTCACACCATTAGAAGTTTTGAATAAACTATTTATCTTGAGATTGAATATCTGTTTAGAAATAATTGTATTGGGTTATTGGTGGAGGATAACTATGATTGTTGTAGAAATTGCATGAGAATTAGGTGATTTAAAACTAATCCATTGTTGGTTGTCATCGAATATGATTGTCTTTATATACAATGTATATGTATACTTGTTTGGGAGGAGATGGAGGATATACTCCATATATGATTATGTCTTTATATACATCGTATATGTATACTTGTTTGGGAGGAGATAGGGGATGTACTCCATGTTTGCGAGGAGATAAGGGACGGACTCCATTGAAATTAAGTTGGCCGGAGTGTCCAGGGTGAAAATCCTGAAATTCATGATTATGCATGGGTGCCAATTCCTGCAGACAAAATGTCTGTAAAATGGCAAATAAAAGTGATTGTATGATGATTATGCTGATTAAAGACTTATTGAGTTGTAGTCTCAATTTGGTCGTCTGAATGAAATGGACTATTATTATGAAGTTGAATTGAAAGATAATGGACTTAACTCATGAATTGAGAAGTATAGATGAATTGGAAATGAATTGAAAGATAATGGACTTAACTCATGAATTAAGAAGTATAGATAAACTGGAAAGGAATTGAAGGAAAATGGATTAAGGTTTGAACTTAGTATCATATGAATATGCAAATTGGTGGATGTTTTAGTACCAGCATTGTTTATGCATATGGTACTTATATCTTTGCTAAACCTCATATATTGTGTTAGATTATTTCTATTGGGTTGTGGCTCACCCTATATGGGAATACCATTTTCAGGCGCAGGTGATATGCTTCCGTCAAGGCAATACAGTGGAGGGACTTTTGGGAAGCAAGAGCTTCTTTATTGTGTTTTATTATATGTATAGCCAAGAGCTTTATTGTAATGAGCCGTGCTCACTTTTGTGTAACCAAGTAATGACTTGGGAAGATGTAAGCCTACAGGGCATTTAACTGTATGTTAAACTTTTATAAACAAACTCTGATGAATGAAAGTATTTTATTTCTGTTATATCTTCCACATAACAGTTGGATTTATATTATTATTTTGGGGGTGTTACAAATGTTTTCCGGAATACTTCTCAAGTTTTTACAATTTCTCAGACTAATAAAACCAAGGTTGGTAAGATGTCTAACTGAAGGTGGAAGTTCACTGATACCAGCCCCAGCTAAACGAAGCTTTGATAAACATCTCGTATATCCCATGCTGACTAAAATGTTGACAAGCTTTGAGCACCCAAAGACAATAAAAACTTCAAGATATTCCAATTGAATGCCGCATGGAAGACTCTTGAGATTTTTGCAGTCCTTCAAATTCAAACAAATAAGCCTTTTGACAACTACAATGGATGGATGAAGATTAACCAAACCTGTACAACCTTCAAGAATCAATCTCTCAAGATTTGGGACCCCTTTGAAGTCTGGGCTCTTCGTTAGGTATGTCAAGTGACTAAGATTCATGATTCTTAACTTGTCTAAATGCTGTTGAACAAAAATAAAAATTAAAATTACGAAAATTATATTTTGTCAAGGACTTTGCACCTTATTCAAAGTAATTAAAGAAAATGCATATCCATACCATTGTTCCCTCCCAAAGTTGTTCAATGTCGCTATAGGTTAAGTGAAGTTTAACAAGATGCTTTGGTTGAAATGTTAAGGGCATGTATTTCATAGGGTACCCTAACCAATCAAGATATCTTAACTTGTTAGAAAGGTATTTGAGGTCTTCTGAGAGGTGCATACAACAAATTTTGAGAATCCTCAAGTTCGACATCTTTACAAAAGCTTTAGGCCTCAACTTCAATTGTTTTAGAAACGGAAAGTCCTTTGAATCTAGACCACTTGGGTCAGGATATTGTACAACTATGCCTTCCACTTTTTTTGTTCCCTAATAACCACAAGAAAACAAGAAGGAAATAATATTAAAAGGCTAAAAAATCATGCAGAGCTAGCTTTTATTAATTAAACAAGTTTTGAGTGTTCATGCTTTTTCTATAAGACCTCTTACCGTATTGTCTATCGGTACATGGTTTATATCTTCAACACGCCATAACCTAGAACGCTTTCCAGGCTCTTTAGGTGATTATTGGAAAACAATATACCACCCTAGTTTTTGTATCAAATCATGCATCAACAACTTATTTTCAGAGATAGTTATGGGAGAATTTTTAATAAGAACATCTATTCCAATAATTGGGTGGAAGCCACTACTTTCTAGTATTTTGGTTATATCATTTTTGTCCATCTCTTTGAAAAAACATGCAATATCTAAGAATATTTAATGCTCTTGCCAATCCAATGCATCGTAACTTATTCTAAGTACTTCCTGAACTTCCTTCATAGGGCTTTCTTTTAGTCTTTTTAATGAACTTTCCCATTCATCTTTGTTTCGACCACAAAGAAAAGAACCTAAAACTTTGAGAGCTAAAGGAACTCCTTTAGCATACTTTACCTAAGACGTACAAGCTCTCCATAGCCTCCAATTTGCTGGTGTTTTTAGAAGGCTTTCAATTCGAAGAGTTCTGTAGCTTCATCTTCTCTTAATTCCTCAACCTTATAAATATGCGTTATGCCATATCTAGTTAAAGCATGTTGATTTCGAGTCGTTATAATGATTCTACTTCCAAAACCGAACCAATCGTGCTCTCCTACCAAATTTTTGAGTTTGGTTGATTCATCCACATCATCAAGCACAATAAGAACTTTTTTACGACATTCCATGTTCCTTATCATATGTACTACACGACCATCACTTCCTACTTTCAAATCATTTTCCATTAAGATTTCAGAAATGAGTTGTTCTTGCAGAGTTTTTAAACCGCATTTTTTTGAAACTTCTCTAACATTCTCAATAAAGCTGTAACCTTCAAATTGGCAAGAGATACAATCATAAACAGCTCTGAAAATAGTAGTCTTACCTATTCCACCCATTCCCTAAATCCTTACAACACGAGCATCATCCACCCCTAAACCTAGCAATTTAATCACTTTCTCCATACGAGAATCCATCCCAACTAAATCTTCGCCAATGCTTGAATATGTATGACTTAATTTTCTAAAAAGTAACCCGACAACTTCTTGGATGAACATTGATTCAGACCTCCAAATTTAGGGGAATAGTAATAAATTTATTCATCAGAACTCAAAAGCGTTGTAAGGAAAAATGTCATTAGTTTGGTCAAATATGATTGATTTTATTCATTGCAATTGAAATCTATATATTATATAAAGAAAGGGTGTTTTTAGTGAGAAATCTTGTGAGAGCTTCAATATCTCATACTACTTTTCTTGATTTTCTGAATTTTAGACAATTAAAAAAATCTCCATTGGTTAGCTTTTATTAAACCATATAAAAATCAAACTTTAATTAGTGTGGGGACATATTTTTTGAATACCAACACGTGGCATGGTGACGCCGACGTGTCAGCCGAGGTGCCACGTGTCCTGGTAGTTAAGCCGAGGTAATCGCGGAGAGGCCGAGGTCATCTCCTAAGATGTCGGAATCCGAAGATAAGGGACAAGAGTCCTGGAGCAAAAAGGGGACTTAATTAAGATAAGGATAAATCTCTTAGGGAGTTTATCTCTATCTCCTAAAGAGTCCAGAGTAAGCACTAAGATTGGAGTTCATAGAAGTCATACTTCTAGTTGGACTTGGATTGAGTACATTATAAAAGAAAGGCACCCCCGTGGGTCTAAGGTATGTAATTCATACTTTGAGTATTCAGTTTAATACTTGATTATCCTTGAGAATCATACTGACTTGATCGTCGGAGTGCCCCCGGGTGGAAGAACCACCGCCGGAGCTTTTCTTTTCTGTTACAGGTTGCTGGAGCCATCTATTCTGCCGGTGCTTAGCTGCTGATCACTAAACGGGCAGTGTGGTCAGATTTTTACCCACACAATTAGTTTATGATTTATTTGACAATTCCACATCAAGAAAAGAAGGAAAAAGTGAGATTTTTTACTCATATAAAGCGAATCTTATACTCCCATTTAATATTGTAGTGCTGTGCATGTTTCAATTCAATATAGTTTAAATTTAAAAATTTTAATTAATTAATCTTTTTGTAAGTTGGTTGGTCTTTTGACCTAGCCAATTAGGCTGCATCATTTTTGATTTGACTGATTCGTTAGTTTAATTGTAATTTTAGCGATTTTTTCAAAATATATTGATTAGATTTGTTTGATTTGAAATAAACTAAAGATTGATCTGATTAAAGATTGAACGACTGAGATTGCTTGATTAGAAATAAACTTTTCGCCTAAATAATTGTTAATTTTTATTTCATAATCCTACATCGAAAAAAGAAGAAAAAAAAATGAGTTGTTTCACTTATATAAAGTGAACGTTAATATTATAGTATTGTGCATGCTTTTCAAGACAGTTTAAATTTTAAAACAAAATTAAAATAATATTTAAAAGTTTTAATTGATTAATTTTTGTATAAGTTGGTTGGTCTTTTGACTTAGTCGATTAGGCCGAATCATTTTCAGTTTGATTGATTCACTAGTTTAACTGCGATTTTAGCAGTTTTATCAAAATATATTGGTTAGATGTTTGATTCGAAATAAACTAAAGATTGACCTGATTAAAGATTGAACTATTGATTGCTTGATTAGAAATAAACTTCATGTCCAAATAATTATTAACTTTTATTTTACAATCCCACATCGGGAAAAGAAGAAAAAAGTGCGGTGTTTCACTTATATAAAATAAACCTTATGCTCCTATTTAATATTGCAGTGTTGTACATGCTTCAATTCAAGATAGTTTAAATTTTAAAATTAAAATAAAGCTTAAAAATTTTAATTAATTAATTTTTGTATAAGTTGATTGGTTTTTTTACCTAACCGATTAGGCTAAACCATTTTTTGTTTGACTGGTTCGTTAGTTTAACCACGATCTTAGCGGTTTTATCAAAATATATTGGTTAGATTTGTTTGATTCAAAATAAACTAAAGATTAACTAAATTAAAGATTAAATGATTGATATAGTTTGATTCGAAATAAATTTTCCACCCGAACAATTGTTAATTTTTATTTTACACAATCCCACATCACGTAAAGAAAGAAAAAGTAAGTTGTTTCAGTTATATAAAGTAAACATATGCTCTCATTTAATATTGTAGTGTTGTGCATGTTTCAGTTGAAAATAGTTTAAATTTTAAAATAAAATAAAATTTAAAAGTTTTAATTAATTATTTTTTGTATAAGTTGGTTAGTCTTTTAACCAATTTTACTAACGATGGGGGATTGACCTATAAATTCCATTCGGCTGACTTGTGACTTCCAGTCCCAAATGTGTTGTAATACTCTTAGAAGTCCCAATATGATGTGATTTACGTTTTTGCCCATAAGGTATGATTTTTTAAATATAAGGATTGCACATGTTGTGGGCTTACCACGTTTGGGAAAACGCACTATAGTTCTTTATTGGTTGGTACATTAGTTTTGGACTACCCACATCACCCACATCCTAGGTTGGGCCAAAACATATCCAATGTAAAAGCCCTCAGATCCACATCGATTTCAGGTGAAGCCCACATTGGTAATCAAGACATATAGACTATCAAACCACACTAGAACAAGTTTGAGCGATGGTCAAAAGGTCTTCCCGTCATTGGATGATTGGTGAACACATTCGACATTGATTGCCAAGCGACAACCCTCCACACCCCCCATCGGTGTGTCCGTTGTCAAACATTCAGTCCAGTTGTGGAAAGCACAAAATTAAACAATAAATTTCATTCTGATTCGAAATATGCAAATTTTAGGGTTTTGCAGAAAATATATCGCATTTGATTTGGTCTGAAATCCCATATGTGAGTATTGGCATGGCAACCACTTAATCGATCCACATTTGCAATTTTTTTTGCGATTTGTTTCCAGATTTGCAGGGATTCAATTGTGGGTGAATAGTGATGTGAGCGGTTTCGTTACCCACAGTAATTAGAAAGGAAAAGTAGCCCTCAAATCCCACGAAATCAGCGTCTATTTTGGAAAAAGCCCTAGTGTAAGACTGGGGGTTTTGGGTGGGTAACATTTGTGGGACATCATGAACATTTTCTTTGCTCCCACAACGAAATAGTTCTGCTAGAGTTGTTGTGTGAAGGTGTAAACCACCCTTATCCCGATGACGATGCCGAGGAACAGTGAGTATATGTATCTGTGCTTTTATGTGTTTGGTGTCGTGTTTTTGAAATGTGGTTTGGTGGGTGTGTAGTTACTGTATCCATGTTTTGCATTTAGGTGGGATGTACATGATGTAGTTCGAGGGTGGGAGGGGCTTGGTGTAGTTAATGTTAATGTTGTTAGGGGTGCTGCTGTGTGGTTAGGGGGGTAGTGTGTGGTATGTAGGATTGAATGTGGTGGGGTAGGGAGTTATGTTCCTTCCCAAATTAGAACCGTAATCAATGGGATTGCCATACCAGACAAGTAAGTTACCACACAGAAACAAGGGCAAAACAGTCGCATAATCCACCCAAAATCAGCCAAATAGGATCTTCCGGGTAACATTACCAACAAAATGGGACTTCCAAGAGTATTAAAAATAAAGAAGGATCTCTTGGTCCAAAACCCTCCCAAATGGGACTTTTCAATAATTTTCTCTTATTTTATTATGTTTATCATAAATTATTTATTAATATATTATTCCCTCCATCTCAATTTGTTTCTCTTTTGAAGATTTTAAAAAATTAATTGTGACTTTATTAATATATTATCATAATTTGTTAGATTTATTTCCCCTACATAATTTATTACTATATTTATTAGATTTATTTATTAATAAATTGCCATTATTTTATTATGTTTGTCATAAATTATTTATTAATATATTATTCACCCCATCTCAGTTTGTATTTCTTTTGAGGATTTCAACTTTTTAGGGAGGCATGCAATCATTACACTTAAATTTAAATTTCAAAATATTTTTTCACTAATTCTTAACCTTTAAAATTTTGAATAAAGTTATAATTAATCAAAAGGGATAGTTTTAAAAAATTAAATGTGCCTTTGTTAATATATTATCATAATTTGGTAGATTTATTTCCCCTACATAATTTATTTCTATATTTATTAGGTTTATTTATTAATATATTACCATAATTTTATTATGTTTATCCAAAATTATTTATAAATATATTATTCCCTCCATCCCAATTTGTTTGTCTCTTTTGAGGATTTCAACTTTTTAGGGTAAAAACTAAAAAACTTATTTTATTTTATTTATTTATTTATTTGACTAAAAAAGCCCAACCTCTTCAAAACTAACATACCAAACGGCTACATTATTTTATTGGAAAAAAAAAATGCGAGTTACCTAATGATATTGGGATAAGGCCATCCTGATAAATTGGCAACTTGCTCCAAAGCATTCCTTCACCTTTGAACATTCTTCATTCCCAGAACTCCCTGTTTGGAAACCAATTCGTCAAATACCTCCCCAAAACTCCCTCTTTGCCTTCTCACTTCCAATGGATCCACATGATAGAATATCGGATAAACAGTTGTGTTGCTGCATTCAAGTGCCTCCACAAGTTCATCCAAACACCATCTCGAAGAAGCATAATTCTTCGATAAAACTATAATTGAAAACCTCGATTCTCGAATCGCACTCCAGAGCTCCGGCAAAATTGATTTTCCACTCTCGAGGTTTTCATCGTCTTTGAAGGTGTGAATCCCCTTATGAGCCAACGCAGTGTAGAGATGACTGACGAAGTTGTTGTGAGTGTCTTCGCCTTTAAAGCTCAATAACGCATCGTATGTGTATCGAGGTCGAGATGAAGCCATTGTTTAACTGTTTGGTGTAAGAAATTACTAGAGAGATAATTGGGAATTTGATAACAGAAACAGAAACTAGGATCTCACCCTTTCTCTCTCTCGTTTTTTTTTTTTTTTTTTTTTTTCTGATGTGACAATCCTATTTACTGCAATGAGTAATGATAGAGACCCTATTTTTGAAAGATGCACAACCCCCGTAGTGATCCACACCATTCATGATGTAGACCCCACACATATATGAGTAGGCCCCACACATCATGAATGGTGTGAATCACTACAGAGGTTGGGGGTACTCTAAAAAAGGGGTCTCACTCATTTTCCTTACTGCAATTCGCGTGTTGTCTTACTTTCTTGGTAGGTATTTATTGTTCCTCTGCTTCTTTGCTCTTTCCTGGTCACTGCAATTACGCATTTTCTTTTGAACTTAGCATGGAGCATATGTACCAATTGATACACTAATTAGTATATTAATATATCTTATGTCATTATTATTAATCTCACTCGTTATACAAATTATAAATACCTAAAATGTCTAAAATTATGTCACATCATCTGTCAATCACTAATTAGTGTATCAATTGATACATATAGCATTATTTTTATTTTATTGAATTCATAATTATTTTATTTAAGTTATATCATTTTGATCTAGGTCATATCAATTTTTTTATTATATTATTTTAATTTTAACTCATATTTCATTTTATAAAATATCAACAAGTATATGAAAAATGAATAAGACCCCCAATTATGGAGATCCCCATGAGTCTAATAACATGTGGACCAATAATGTGTTTGTGTTTTTTTTTTTCTTGTCTTTCTAGACCACAGGTGAGTGAAGATTGTAAGATTATATTTTTTTGGAGTTTATAGCATTATTGAAAATATATTAATTTGACACTTTCTAAACAATCAAAAGGATTTAAAAAGATGAATTATTAAAAGAGAAAAAGCAAGAATAAAAATAAATAAAAAAAATCGTTGCATATCTATCTATACTCATACATAAAGCGGGAGGTATTGAACAGTGTTTTTTCGTCCCCTATGAAATTACTTATTTACCCTTTCGTTCAACTTCCAAATTCAGCTACTTAGGAGATGGTATAAACAGAATAATATGAGGATATAAGAGTAATTTTGATGTCTGCTGAATTCATGGCAAAATTAGACAAAATGACTTTTTACCCTTATTTTTCCAATCTTCATCTGTGCGTGGCTAATTTTAGTTCACATAAAGCAGGGTAATTTCGGAAGGAAATTTTACATTGAATCATCTCTTCATTACATTGAATCAGTCACAGGTGAGTGGAACCCACTGTTTTCACCAATAACAGCTAGATTTGCCCCTGGGACAATGAATAATTTCTCTAGCCACAGCTCTTAATAGTCTGTCTTTCCTTTGCTTTCTCTATTCTCCCTCTCAAAACGGTTCCTCTCAAAACCCTTCACAATTTTTCGATCTTCAATCGAAGCGATGACGGAATGCTAACTCAACCCCATTCAGCTCCCTATTGAAAACATTGAGTCTCAAAAGGAGTTACGATTTTTGAATCTGAAATGGAATCGCGATTGATGGCTAATTAGTTAATTTGCCTTTCTTTCTTTTTTTTTTTTTGGTTTGTTTTTGGTTTTCTTTTTGCAAGATTGTGGCGCTGCTTTTGAAAGTTTAGATAATAAGCAACATAATTTTTGGATAAGTATATCAGGTACTCTCTGTTTCTATCTGATAATGTAAAATTTCTAAATCTAAGAAAAATAAGTTATTTAAGTATATATATATATATATTTGTAGTGAAAATTTATGTACCCAGAAAAATGATATTATGAAATTGTGTGTACCGATTTCTGACCACGTTGCCAAACAGGTACTCAGCCGGAGAGCACCGGCAGAATAGATCTCGCCCGAACAACTTGTCACAGAAAGATAAGACTCCGGCGGTGGTTCATCCACCTGTGGGCACTCCGACGATCAAGTCAGTACTCAGTTATCTCTCAAAGATAGTAAACAGTGCTTAACTCACAAGCCAGAATACAAAAAAATGTACTTTAGACCCACGAGGGTGCCTTACTTTTATAGCCAAGACTAACTTGATCCCTGTAGAAGCATAGCTTCAATGGACTCTGGCTCAATGCTCATCTTGGACTCCCAGCCAGATAGAGATAAACTCCATAAAAGCCTTATCTTTGTCTAGACTGAGGTCCTCTCCCATTCTGGGACTCTTGCCCCTTATCCGTTCATCTCGGATTCCGATATCTCCACAGATAACCTCGGCCTAGCCGAGATCATCTCGACGCCATGACCAAGACACGTGACACCTCGGTTGACACTTCGGTGTCAGCCTGGCCACGTGTTGTCATTCACAAAATATGCCCCCAGAACTACCCCTTGGGTTCTATTACCTGGGCATCCTGAGGTGATGGAACCTATATCGTTTGTCCATATATCACATTGGCTAGGACTTACTCCATCCTTCATGGCCGAGATCATCACACATTGGCTTCATATGACCAAGACCCAAGAACCATGCTCTTCAAGTTCCTTAACCAAGATCATTTCTCTAGTCGAGGCTCTCGCTTCATTAAATTAAGAACTTCAAGAGTTCTATCTACACATGAGCTATCACACACAGTTTCTCAACCGTTTTCACCACGCGTCTTTTTCTGATTGATCTGTACCTGACACGTGTCATCAGGTCGCGTCGCTTCTGCGTGCGCCACCTGACAGACACGTCATCCAAGGCACGTTCATTGTGATTTTGTCGCCTTTTCATGTTTTAACAAAAACACTTTCTCTCTCCGTCGCTTCACTTTTGCATCCTTCATTTTCCCTCTGAGTTCAAGTTTTTTCTCTCTCTAAATCCTCCACCTCTATTGCTATCGAGCTCTCTACAACTGATTCCGTTCTTCCCCTCCGGCGAAGCATTCACCATTCTCCTCCATTCACCATCATCGTTTGACTTCGGCGTACCTTATACCGATGTCATTCTCTTTGGTAAGTCACTATTTTCCCTCTTTTTAGTTTCAAACTCTGTTGCGTTTGTTTATTGCCATTGTAAATCCATTCATGTTCTTCAATCTTTTCTTGTGTTTTAAATTTCATCATTCACGTGTTAAGCATGTTTGTTTGCGATTTCATGTTTGTCCAACTCATATTTGGGTCTACATATGCACACACATACTGCTCATACACTTGTTAATTTGCCACTGTCCTTGGCTTTGCACATCTACACACACTTTATTCAATGTTCTTGAATTTCTATTTGTTTTCTTAAGTCTGAACCATTGCTCTTTTCTATTTTTTTGCTTTATTTCTAGATTCATGCCTTTGATTCCTGTATTTGTGTAGATTTAGGTTTGGGTTTTGATCTAGAACTCTGTTCTTTAGGAAAACTGAACCAAAAACCCCCTTAGATTCTCAGAAACCTTTACTCCAGTGCTATCTAGGGTTTAGCCGAGGTCCTTAAACCCACACCAAACATTCTTTTTTCAAAATTTTGCCTTTATCTTCATAAGCTGACATCATGGGTATGTTCAGGTGGAGAGTCGACACCCCTTCCAAGCTAGAGTACTTTAGGAATGAGTTCTCCATCCCAGTCGATGTCCATCTTAGGTTGACTGGAGAGGAGGACTCCATCATGCCTGATGGGGATTCCATGCCCTTCCCAGTAGTAGCCTTTATAGAGTGTGGACTTCGGCTCCCTCTAGACATCCTTTTCCAACAAGTCCTTCACTATTACAAGCTTAATCGAATGCAGCTGGCTATTAACTCTTATAGAGTCATTAATGGTATAATTGCCCTAGCTAGCCGACAAAACGCTAGGATAACACTAGCCGATATCCAATACTATTATACCATGTGTGGCTTGAAATTCGAAAAAGGATACGTCTATTACCTCAAGCCGAGATCCACTGAGTACAAATTCATAGCCAACCTCCCAGACTCCAACAAAGGTGCTAGAGATGATTATTTCATCATCTCAGGCAACTAAGAGTTCTCACCTAATGACAACTTCCAGCTCTATCCTTTGAGCCGAACATTGTTTAAAAAGGGTAATGGTAAGAACCAAGTGTCACTTTACATGCTTTTAAGCCTTTATTACTTTATTCCCTTTATATGTTCTAATGTCTGATTTTTGTACTTGCAGCTCTTCCTCAGCCACCAAAAGATTTCCGAAAAACCTTCTACCCCAACAAGGACTTTAAGAAGCTGCTGGGCTTGCCAATTGATCAGCGCAAAGCCCCTCTGCTACTCAACTATATTCCAACCTACAAATCTGCAATGCCTGAGGTCCCCAAGAAAAGCAAGTCTCCACCTTCAGCAACAACTCCCCCTAACACTTCATCACCACAACTTGATCAAGCCTCAACCTCCGATCCAGCGGAGCAACCATCAGCATCTGCTCCACAACTGATTCCTCCTGCCCAACGCCAATGCCGATGCCGAGTTCTAATTTATGCTCCTGCCAGCAGAACTCATAGCCGAAAACGCCAAAGTACTGAGGCGTCGGCTTACGATCCAACCAACCTACCCACTGCACTTCCAGCAATCCACTTCGGCACCAAAGTCACTATTGCCGCTACCGCTGACGAGATGGGGTGCAACAAGGCTGTCATTGAAGACCTCTTGACAAACATCCCCGGTGTGGTAACAATCTAATCCTCCCCATCATAATCCCAACCTAAGCCAAGGCAAAAAAAGGTAAAGAGGGCCAAGACAAAAGCCTCTTTCACCCAAGCTGAGTCTGAAGAAACAGTACCAATCTCAAAGCTCGCCGAGATTAAGAAAACAAGCTCTGCCACCGAGAAGAGGCCTGCTGAGGCTGATCCCTCTGAAACCATTCAATTAAAGAAGCCAAGATCTAAGTCTGCAGCCACCTCGGGTTCACTTAAACCTGATGGCCCCTAGGCCTCATCTATCATGATTGAGGACAAGCCAGTTAGAGCCAGCGATAGCGCTATTGACAACATCGAAGTCGGCATCGCCCTTTCCACTGCATTGCTACTTCCTA